CTACAAAATACATTACACTTGAAATTTAACTGTGTATGCTGCACACCAGGTGGCCAGGCTGCTTTTACTGGGAGAAAATAAAGAAGCTGAAATGCACTGCTGTATAGTGCTCTTAGTGCCTAATAATGTCCTAGAGAAAGAAGTATGCTTTTGCTCTCTGTCACTGCTGACTGCAGAATGGAGTGCACGTTATACGAAGTCACATATGCTGTAGAATAACACTGCTGCGGGAGCCCTTAGCTCACCGGCATTTGACATTTCCTTGTGATTAGGAAAGAAATTACACACCAGCAAAGAGCTTTTTTCCCATTTCTGGAGAGACTGCATTAACACCCTTGTGGAAATTACATGAATGAGCGAATATGTAGTTTGTGGGCTGACATGCTTGAGAAAGAGGAGCTCTTAAGAGATGGTTACAAGAAAGGTGCCCTCTGCTTATCTGATGTAATGATCGCTGGGTTCAGTAAATGCAAGCATACAATGAAAATGAAGAACGAACTAACAACAATGAACTTTATTGTGGAGCAGTAGGCAATCTCTGCAGTCCTTTGGTCTCTCTAGCTACTTTACTCAGGGACCATCTCCTAATTACTAGGTTCCTCAGTCTCCTTAGTTAGGGAGCATCTTTAAATGATAACTTCTATCACTATATCATCCCTATTAAGAATAAGTACTAAAATCAATTAATATGAAAAACAGTTAACAACCGTCCTACAGAGGAGAGGCTACTAGCTCTGTTCTCTTTTTTTTCTGCAGCTCTTTTAGCAAGTCTCTATGTGTCTTTCAGGAGGTTTCACTTTTTATCCCCTATAAAATGTCAGATGATGTCCCCTATAAAAGTCAGCTTAGTGACACCCAGAATGCACATTGCTCTATTCAACTTCAGATTTGCAGCTCTAGAAGCTTACAACACTTCCCAAAGCCTGCAGTCTTGTTCTTTTTGGTGGACTCCAGATGACATTATCATCCACAGAGGCATCCACATCAGGAATATACACATAAATCATGTTATGTTATTATGATATACTTCAGGAGCAGAGGTGATACCAAAAGATAGATTCAGAAATCTGTACCTTCCTAAAGGAGTATTAAATATACATAATTCAAAGCTTTCCACGGAGAGCTTCAGCTGCCAAAATCCTGAGAAGGCAACCAATTTACTGAAAAATCAGGCATTTGTGAATTGGGTCGTAATTTCGTCTCCAGTTGGCAATTTAAAATATTCTTGTTTGATAGCCTTGTTGCGGTGCCTTGGATCCAGGTGTATATGTAACTGGCTGTTATTTTTCTCTGCAATAACCAAGGCGCTTACTGATTCTGTAGATTCCTGGGTTTTCTGTATCATTGTAATCTTTCCATTCTTGCTAACTCAACCTTGAGTCTATCGCAAAAGGCAAAAGGCACTTTTCTTCATGTCTGAATAATGGGAAGCGCTTGCTTATTTATCTGAATTATATGCTCACCTGGCCAGCCACCTAGCCCTCAAAATAAATCCTTATACTTTGACATGAGTGCCTCATATTCCAGAGCTGTATCTTCTTGTACTGCAGGCACAGGCTTAATTAGATTCAGTTTCTCACAGACCCAAAACTGGTGTTGCCTCCCTAGGTACCACGAGGAAGGGGAGTTAGTATACTCTGTTTTTATATTGGGTGCTAGCAGGGCATCTCCCAGTTACTGAAATATTTGTTCCTGAAAAGCCTATGAGCTTGATGGTTGTTGGATTCACTTTTGACCTCAACTTGAAATTTCTATATTAATCTGAGCTCCAGTGTCCAACTTAAATGAAATAATTGTTCCTTGCACATCCACTGGTAACATCCAGTCCCTCTCACTGATTTGCTTGATTCTACCATGTCTATATAAAATTCTTCTGGTATGCTCACAACTGTACATACTGGCTGCTTGTGGTCATTAAAAATAAATAATAAAACTGCTTTACTGGAAGAAGCAGTGCATTACTTCAACCCAGCTCTGCAACATCTGTAAAGTTCAGATGCTTCAGTGGGGCTTTTTGGCACTTTTAGCTAAAGCTGATTCAATCAGCTATTAGATAAAAGTGGCAAAAAAGCCCCACTAAAGAGCCCGATCTTTACAGATGCTGGGTTGAAGTAATGCACAGTCCCTTTTGGGCATGTGAGGAGCATGACACATGCTCACTTGCAGATGCACACTTTACAGTTTTAAATGCAGCACCATTTTGGGGGTTTTTTAATGTCTGCAAGCACCACTTGAGGGTTGTTTGTTTGGGATCTCTAGCACATTGCAAAATGGTTGCTCTTGCTACAGATATGTGTATATTGACATACCAGCTACCCAAGTCTGTTCTTGAATACAGAGAGAACAGTGTCTTGGCCCGCCATGATTTGAAGGCCTCACTGGAGGAGAGGGACCAAACTTCCAATAAATCTATATGAATTACATCTACTTGTGCTACAGCCTTTGGGGCCTGTTTCTACTTCCATTGAAAGCAATGGGAAGTTTGGATTTGATTTAAATGGTGTAACGCATGAGGCACTGTATCAACAAGGTCTCCTGCCTGGCATACCACCTGGGTCCTATCTCATTATTACCACCCTTTGTCCTGCCACACCTTGATGTTACAGTTCATAGGGAGACTGCTTCTAGGAGGCAGGAATGGGTCTTGGGGTAGGCCCTTGTCAGGGATGTAGCCTCCTTTGACTTTAGCCCACATTAATCTAAGCTGGGTTCCTTCTGCCCAGGACCCACCACACCAGAACCCCAGGCTTATGGACCCCAATTTGCCCCTTGGGCTGTGGACCTCTTGGGCTCCTGGTTACACCCCTCATAGGCTTTGGCCTTGCTCCCTCTCAGTCTTTGCTGGCAGGTATTCAGTCCTCTGGGATGCTGCAGTCCTCCCTTGGAAATGCTTGGGTTTCTGCTCTGTATAGCCCACTGGGCTACAGGCCCTGAGGTGCTCTGTGCTGGGTGCCCCTGCAGCACCCAGTGGCCTCCAGTCCTCCCTTTACCGCCACACCTGGTTCTCAGTTCAAACACACATCAAAAGCATGAGCATCCACTCCCAAAACATAAAGCTCACAAAACACAAGCTCCCCTGTTGGGGTTAATCTCACTCCATGGTAGCACTAATGCAAAAGGTTTGAGGCATTTATCTCGTGTTGCTCATGGTCCAGGGTTTCCTCCACCCTTCCATGGCTCAAAGTCCTTTCTCCCCAGGTCGTCTGGACTGGCTTCTCCCTGGAGCTCTGCCTCCTGTGGCCCCTATATTCAGATTGCCCCTTCTGGGCCAAGCCCTGGGTTTATGAGCCTCTCCATGGATCACTTGACCCTCTACTTCTGCTCCAGGTCTGCTAATCACTGCCTATACCTGAGGTGGATGGCCATTTCATTTAAGGCCATTAATTCTGTTCATGGCCCTGGGCTCCCTGTCCCTCTCAGTAATGGGGTGGGGGCCCTGTTACAAATAGGAACAGGACTGAGCTCTGCAATCATATCTGAGCACAAAAAGGGGACAAATCCAATGGAATTACAAATGCTAGCTTGAATTTCCACTCCTCTGGATTTAAGCTGGCTCTCCCACAATATCACTTTATCAGTGTCTTTTTTCTCCCTTTTCCTTTTGGTACTGAATACAATTTCTGGATGGGTTTGGTTAGGAAATTGTCTTCAGACAATCGGTGAAGTGCAGTGCAAACATCTAGTGCTGTCCACAGCTGTTGGTTGTGGATCAGATTCTCTCACTGCCATGGGCTGGGATCCAGTTGCAGGACAGATGCTGTATGGTTTTGTTTATTGGCCTGGCTGCACAAAGAGCTGCGCTCCACGTTGACAGAGAGCAGGTGGCTTGCAGAAGGAGGGGAAAACATGTTTTCAGCTTTGAGTGTTTACAGATTCTTATAATATACTGATTGCAGCTGGATGTGTAAATAGGAGCTACCCACGTGCCCTGTTACCCTACATTATTTAGCCACAAACACAGGCACACAAAGACTTCTGCTGGCTCTATGGACTGTTTCATTTGTTATGCTATGTACCATACCCTCCTCCCCCCTCTCCCTCCCTCCCCTGTAATTAGAATTTGTATATGGACAATTTGTAAATTTGTTATAATTTTCCAGGTATCAAATCTAACTATTGGAAGTTTTCCTTGAATTTGTCCCCTCTCATGGGAAAATAAATCTGGGGGTAGCTCCCTTGCCTTCTGTCCCCCAACTTCTTCCCCCTGCAGCCCCTTCCTCCTCACTTACTGGCAGCTCCTGTTCCCCCTGTGCACATAGAAGTGGGGGGCAAATTTGAAAACACTGACTTTGACATAAACATACCTGTAGTAATTTGTATATAGGGAAAATACTACAGGTCCCCATAGACTTAGTTCATCCAGAATTGATGTATTTTATCTGTTTTTGAAACTTGCAAGTTTTAGTGCAGGTACTCCATAAACACACTTTTAAGCAGCACTTTTGTATCTTCTTATATATAATACAAACTATTTGATACATTGGTAGCTTCATTACTTATTTCTGCCTCACTGGGTCACTGATGTACTGGCCATGAGCTCTGCGTGCCCCCGGAGGCTGGGGGGGTGGGCACTGTTAGGTCTGACAGGTGGTGGTGGCACTGTCAGAGGCAGGAGCGTGGCGGTGGTAAGTGGGGAGCTCCCGCAGGCAGCCGTGGTGCTGTCGGCAGTGGGGAAGGGGTGGTGAGTGCTGACCAGCAGTCAGTGACCACCCGTAGACACCTCTGGCAGCATTGGTGGCAACCAGCGGCAATCGTGGACTGCCTGCAGATGCCAACAGTGGTGTTGACAGTGAGGGGGGGCGGGTGGCAAGCAGCAACCACCTGCAGGCACCGCCGGCAGTGTCAGAGGTGGCTTTTCATAGTGGGGTGCACTGCCACGCTCAGGGTGCGCATGTGCATCGCCTATGGTACCAGCTACTGTACTGTAGCACTGACTGCAGCTTTCTAGTGGAAAGATATGCTTTGTGACAGGGTCCATCTTTTATTCTGTGTTTGTACAGCTCCTAAAAGTGCTCCAAGACCAGAGCTCACAGGCAGCCCAGGAACATGTAAGTAATAACAAAAGAAAAGTACCATATTTTCGCGCATATATCCCGCGGGGTATAAGCAATTTTACAAAAAAAATGGATGGGTGTGGGTTATACAAGAGTGCGGGCTATCGACAGACTTTTTTTCCCTCCTGGGCCCAGGCAGGCCGGGCTGCGCTGCCACTGCCACGGGGGCCAGGGCCGGGGCTGGGGCCGGGCTGCACTGCCGCTGCCACAGCAGTTGATTCAATTAAAGATGGCTCTTCTCTTTCTCCTCCCCTTCCTGAGCTTCCCCCTGCTCTTCCTGTTCTCTGATTTGATCTCCCTCTCCATTTACTGGGCACATTCTTTCTGGGCACATTCTTTCTTTAAAAAAAGTAGAAAATAAAACAACCTGCTTAAATATGAATACCGTCTTAATCAAACTCCAGTTTGTACCTCTCTCCCCAGTAAACAAATGATTTTAAGGATTTTCTTTCATGGTGTTTTGGATGGAAAGATATGATAGGGTATGGTCTTGGTTAGTTTGACTGTTCTTTGGCTACCTGTACACAACTCTTCTTTTCTATGTAACATACCTCTACTTGGAGGGAGAAAAGCTCATTTTTAAATAGAATAGACAGAGGTAGTTAGCCATGTCAGTTTTAAATTAGGCAGAAGGCAGGGCAGGGTGGCCCATTATAGTTTAATTGTTTAGAGAGACATTGTCTATAAGATGCCACCCTGCCCTGCCTTATGTTCATTTGAATTTACAGGAACTGAGTTGGATTATAGGATCATACAAAAGTTTAGCTGGAAGAAACCTCACAAGGGGTGCATCTACACATGTCTCTTTTAAGCGAGCTTAGCCTAAAATCAACATTTTTAAGGTGCATTAAGGGTGTGTATCTATACATGCTTGCCCTTAATGTACCTTAAAAATGGTGATTTAAGGCTATGTGAGCCTAAATTTGATACTTGCTTTATGCAGGTATCAAATTTAGGCACAAATAGCAAAGTTGCATTAGAGCATCTGTAGACATGCTAATGCGCATTAATGTGATATGCCAATGGACACACACCGCGTTAATGCACGTTAGCATGTCTGCACGTGCTAATGTGACTTAGCTATTCGCACCTACATTTAATGTGCCTTAATATGCATTAGCGCATCCATACCTAAGTCACCATAATGTGCCTTAAGCAAAGGCACATTAAGTTTAGGTGCACGTAAATACACATGTAGACATGCCAAAGGTCACTTAGTCCAGCCATCTGCTTGAGGAAGGATCATCCCTGATTAACCATTCCAGCCAAGGGTCTGTCTAACCTGCTCTTGAAAACTTCCAAGGTTAGAGATTCCACAACCTCTCTGGGTATCCTGTTCCAGTGCTTCACCACCCTCGTAGTCAAAAAATTTCTCCTAATCTCCAGCCTAAATTTCCCTTGCTGTAGCTTGAGGCCATTGTTCCTAGCTCTGTGCCCTACAGACACAGAGAAAAGTAGTTATTCTTTTTAAATAAGTTGTGAGTCCTCTAGTGGCCCTCAGTGCCTTCAGAAGCCATGTGAACCCTGACAGAAGAACTTTATATGTAAGTATATATAATATAATGGAACTTTGTATTGAGCATTGCATTTAGTTAGTGTAACAGAACCACACCTGAGTCATGAAATCACCAAGCTGTGGAGATAAGGGGAGGTCCTGGATGATTGGAAAAGGGCAAACATATAGTGCTCATCTTTAAGAAGAGCAGAAGGAGGATCTGGGAAATTACAGACCAGTAAGCCTCACCTCAGTCTCTGGAAAAATCATGGAGCAGAGAATCCATTTCTAAGCACTTGGAGGAGAAGAAAGTGATCAGGAACAATCAGTATGGATTCACCAAAGGCAAGTTATGCCTGACCAACCTAATTGCCTTCTATGATGACATAACTGGCTTTGTGGATGTGGGGAAAGCAGTGGGCATGATATACCTTGACTTTAGCAAGGTTTTTGATACTGTCTCCCACAGCATTCTTGCAAGCAAGCTGAGGAAGTATGGGTTGGATGAATGGACCGTAAGGTGGATAGAAAACTGGCTGGATCATTAGGATCAATGGGTAGTAATCAATGGCTGGATGTCTAGTTGGCAGCCAGTATCAAGTGCAGTGCCCCAGGGGTTGGTCCTGGAGATGGTTTTGTTCAATATCTTCATTAACGATCTGGAAAATGGGATGGATCGCACCCTAAGGAAGTTCACAATGACACCAAGCTGGGGGGTGTAGTAGATACATTGGAGGGTAGGGCTAGGATTCAGAGTGACCTAAATCAACTGGAGGACTGGGCCAAAAGAAATCTCATGCGGTTCAACAAGGACAAGTGCAAAGTCCTGTGCTTAAGACAGAAGCATCCCATGCACCAGTACAGGCTGGGGGCTGACTGTCTGGGCAACAGTTCTGCAGAAAAGGACCTGGGGGTTACAGTGGTCAATAAGATGGATATGAGCTAGCAGCGTGCCCTTGTTGCCAAAAGGCAAACAACATACTGGGATGCATTAGCAGGAGCATTGGCAGCAAATTAAGGGAAGTTATTATTAGGGCTGTGCGAAGCTTTGGATGCTGATTCGATTTGGAGGAGTTTCGGCCCGATTCAGTGGCCAAATCTCCAAATCCAAATCGAATCTGGGGATCAGTTAAAAAGTCCAAATTGATTCAAAGCTCTCCGAATCAATGTGGAAAAGATTCAGAGAGTTTCGATGATTCAGGAAGTCCCTGCCTGCTGCAGCAGGGAGATAGAGCTGGACTCGGAGCTGGTAAGTAGGGGGTGGCCCCCAGACTCACCAGCTCCTGCAGCGGCCTCAGGGCTTTGGGAAGCTCAAAAAGACCCTCCCCCCGCACATGGCGTGGGGCAGTGGGGGGCAGCGGGAATCACCCCCCACCAGGCAGGAACCACTGAGCCTTGGTCTTTAGTTTTCTTTAAAGCGCCAGGAGCTAGGGTGGGTGGGGCAGTGGGGCTGGAGGAGTGAGCAGGGGTTTGGGACCAGCTCCTGCAGCGGCCTCAGGGCTTTGGGAAGCTCAAAAAGACCCTCCCCCCGCACATGGCGTGGGGCAGTGGGGGGCAGCGGGAATCACCCCCCACCAGGCAGGAACCACTGAGCCTTGGTCTTTAGTTTTCTTTAAAGCGCCAGGAGCTAGGGTGGGTGGGGCAGTGGGGCTGGAGGAGTGAGCAGGGGTTTGGGGGCTTGTACAGAGCCCCCTATGTAATGTGGGACAGTGGGGAATAGCAGGAATCGCCCCTCCATCAGGCAACACCTGGGGAGTCAGGGCATTTTTTTTCAACGTGCCTGGAGCTGGGGTGGGTTGGGCAGCCATTGCTGGGGCTGGGAGAGTGGGCGGGGGATGGGACTGTGTGAATCAGATATTTGGCAGGAGCCCAATCTCTGAATCAGATTCTGCCAACTCGATGCTGGACAGTAATTCAAATCACTGAATTGAATCACTGTCCCCTGAATTGACCGAATCTGAATCCGAAATGAATACTAGCCACTTTGCACAGGCCTAGTGATTATTCCTCTTTATTCAGCACTGGTGAGGCCACATCTGGAATACTGTGTTCAGTTTTGGGCTTCCACTATAGAAAGGATGTGAAAAAGTTGAAGAGAACCCAGCAGAGGGCAATGCAAATAGTTAGGTGGCTGAGGCACATGACTTCTGAGGAGAGGTTGAGGGAACTGGGCTTATTTAGTCTGCAGAAGAGAAGACTGAGGGGATATTTGATAGCAGCCTTTAACTACCTGAAGGGAGGTTCCAAAGAAGATGGAGCTAGACTATTCTCAGTGGTGGCAGATGACAGAACAAGGAGCAGTGGTCTCAAGTTGCAGCAGTAGAGGTTTAGTTTGGATACTAGGGAAAACCTTCTCACTAGGATGGCGGTGAAGCACTGAAACAGGTTATCTAGGGAGGTGGTGGAATCTTCATCCTTGGAGGTTTTTAAGGCCTGGCTCAGCAGAGCGCTGGCTGGAATGATGTAGTTGGGGTTGGCCCTGCTTGGAGCAGGGCGTTGGACTAGATGTGACCTCCTGGGGTCCCTTCCAACCCTAATTTTCTATGATTCTATGCTTGGCATGAGCCCAGGGCATCGAGGAGTCTAGAACTCCACCAGAAGGGTCACATGTATGCTTAGCCTGATGTAGCCCAGATACAGGTGGTCCAGCTGTAATCTGGCCAACTGACATCACACCAGTCAGGAGGGAAGTGCTGATTGGAAAGAAGCCTGATGAAGATGGCCTAAAAAGTGGGTTGGGAGAGAGAGAGAGGGGAATACACAGGCTCTGGAAGCAGAGCCACACGTCTCTCCTGTGACCAGAGCACTCAGAAGAGAGTGGACATTCTTCACACTGCTTGAGCCAGAGATTCCCTGGCCCCAGATGCTGTGAGAACTTGACCCTTGCCTGAGAGCCCATGACAGGCCAGATGTGTCCCAGCAGGCAGCTGGCCAGAGATTAAGCTCTGTGCAGATGTGACACAAGCTGGTCTGGGGTCACCCATACCCTGACAGGATTGTGAGTGGGGAGAGCCCACGTGAGAGGGGCAGCGTGCCAGGAAGCACAGGGAGTTCGACCAAGAGGGTCAGAAGTGGTATCTAGTGAACCATACTAAGACCCACACCCAAGGCAAAGGAGTAGTTCAGCACACTGAGGCATTGTGGCCCTGCCTGGCCAACAAACACGAGCTATTTATGTTATATTACCTGTTTTGTTGCGTTTCCAAAGATAGAGGCACAAAGACAGCACATGTAGTTCTGGTCCTTGTTGCATACCTAAAGGAGAAGAATGGATCATATTACCCCTGACTTATCACCAGGGTCCAGCAATAACACCCAAGTGGAAAGGGGTGGGGTGTAGGGGAGGAGGAGCCCCACAGAAGCTACATCAATGCAATTGCACCAGGGCTACCAGGGGACCACTGATATCACCTCTGTACAAATATTGGTTCTGTTGGAAGAACAACAAAGTTGTGGCAGGAAAGAAAAGTCAGGTGCATTGTGACTGGGTGAGCGGGAC